TTATAACTTTTATTTTTTTTAAAAAAAATTGATTATTCTAATTTTTAACTTTTTATTTGCTATTGGTTTTGGAATATAATATATAAATATCATATTACATATATAAAATAATAATTATTTTTATTATTTAATAACTAAATGTAAAAAATGTAACTAAACTACAAAATTAATGGGTAATCGAGAGATAAAATAATGAGTGATTTCTGAAAAAATAATATGGACTAACAAAAACTACTACATAAAAATTTTAATGTTTAAGAAGAAATATATAAAAAAAATACTATATTCTAATGAAAAATTTGAAGGCAAGTATTCCTTCAAACGAATATTTCATTAGTATAACTTTCATTGAAAATTTTCGATAATGCATATAAAAATTAGTTTTGTTTAGATTTTTTAGTGTGTTTTGGTTAATTTTGAAAAAGGTAGTATGGTTGTTCATGTGTATACTAAAATAATATTTAAAATAAAATAATTAAAGTTGATTTGATATAAAAGTAGAAGAATTTTTATTTAAAGTGATGATTAGTTAAAATTATGTGAGTTGATGAATAGTGAATTAAATTGAGTTGATGCGTAAGAATGATCGATTGATATTATTTAATTATATTGATAATATTGATGATAGTGGATTTTGTTAAAATTGGGTTAAAATATAGTTGAATTAAAAATGTTTAGATTTTTTTTTTAGAATTTTTGTATCTAAGCATCCTTTTAATGTTTCCAATTATAATTCTCATAATTTGCCATCTTTCTCATTCGTAATATATTTTTTTAAGTTTTAACATAATAATATAGTCACAATAAGTTAAAAAATATTTAAGAAAAAAAATCATAATTTTTTTCAATTTAACATAAGAAATAATTGAAAATAATATATTTTTTAAAAATTTTATGAACAAAAAATTTATATTGTAGTATAGTTGACTCAACTCGACTATATATATGATTAATTTATAAATTATGAACATATAGCTAGAATTCCACATACATTAGCTGAAAAAGATATAAGAATATATTTTGTAGTTAGAGAAAGCATTATGTTGGAAAAAAGTGAATAGAATTATCACCAAGATTAAAAAATAGAATTAGAGGGTAAAATTGTAATTTTTAGATTTTATCATATTTTTTGTAGTTGTGATACCGCATTTATGTTATAACTTTAATAAAATTATGAGCTGAATTAAATTATAATTGGTTGAGTTGTAAAGTAATTAATTATGCATTTTCTTTCTTTTAGTTTCATTTTCAAAATAGGGGACTTAATTAAAATTATAAAAAACATTCCTATAATCTATTACTATATAATACGGAGAAGAAAAATTATTTGAACAATCCGAAAATAATTATTTCATTTTCCCGCTTCAATATAGTGTTTTTCCCGCTTCTTCAATTCGTAAATTTTTTTTTTGAATTTTTTCAGCCCATACAATTAGGTAACCAATCAAATCGAATCTTTTAGCATTCAATTTGGTAAGGTGTTCCGATTTTAGCATTCAAATCCGATTTCACTTCCTTTTTTTATGCCAATCAATCCAATTTTTTTGGTTGTTTCAAAATTTGTTTAGATTTATATTTTTATTTTATTAATATATTTGAAAGAGAATCAATAAATGTTTATCATAACTTTTATTTTAAAAATAAATTTGAATAAGCATACCTTTTACTTTATATGAAATTCAAAATTACATATTTTAATATATTAATAAACGTTTATTATTTATTTTTTCCTTATGTGATATAATAGAATTTCGGTATTAAATTTGTAAATTCAAACATTTAAAGGAAAAGATTCCAAACAATTTTTTCGGGTAAATTTCATTTTATCTTGGTTTTCATTATCACATTTCTAACAAACTAATTAGTATTATATTTTTTTATCTACATTATCTAACCGATTTTTTATGATACAATTAATATAATATCTTAACAAATTAATCATTTGTCTAATCGAATTTATCTCTCTCACAAACTTGTCAATTTTTTTAAAATTAAAATGGTATGATTATTCTTATGGAGATACTTATTAATATATTAAATATTTAGAAACTTTTTTTGAAAAATGAGTTATCCCTCCTTTTACTTTATTTGAAATTCTGACTTATATTTTTAAATATATTATTATTTATTTTTTTACATGTAAATATTTATTTTTCATTATCTAAGTGATAAATATTATTGATTTATCTCTTTAATAAATATTTATTATTTATTTTTTTCCTTACGTGATATAATGTAAATTTGGTTACTAGATTTTTAAATTCAAACATTTAGGAAAAAACCACGAACAAATTTTTTGGTTACATTTCATTTTATTTTAACTTCCATATAATCACAATCCTAACAAACTAATTAGTATAATATTTTTTTACCCATTTTTATATAATCGGATTTCTTAAAATATAATTAATATAACATTTTAACTATTTAATCATTTGTATAACTAGATTTAACTCATTATCAAACTTGCCAATTTATTTTTGAAATTAAAAAAAATTTGAAAGATTTTTATTTGTAAAATAATAAAAAATAGCTTTACTTTAAAGTCTGGATTATTTCCATTATTTTTTGTACGTTAACAATCATATATTTTGGATTATTGATTTAAAAAAACAAATCAAAACCGTATGGTTTAATAATATTCTTTAAATAAAAAATATTGTATAAAGAAAAGTATTTAATATTATATATTTTTCATTGGTTGTATTTATTTTATTTTCATAATAGACGAGATGTGAAAAATATAAATAATTATATTTAAAATAAAGTCTAAAAAATGTTTAAAAAATGAACTCTTCCGTGCATCGCGCGGGATATACACTAGTTGTTGTTAGATACCTTACCCTAGATGTTTTGGGTGAGGGTTTGGGTCAGCCTATAAACATAGATCAACCCATGATTCCAACAAAATATTTTTGTCATAAACTTTTCATTGAAAAAGTCAAAATGAAGTAATAACATTGAAATATTTGTTAGATTGCTGTTTAAATTCCACTGTAATATATTTTCTTTGAAATTTCATCATTTTTCTTATAGTAAAATTAGGGCTCTAAATCAATGAAAAAAGATTACATTATATATAATGTTGCGTGCAACTAATTATTATGAAAATTGTTGATAATGATAGAAAATATAACATATTTAACGTAATTTTTATTTAATTTATGATAAATTGATAATTGGTAGTTTTTCAAAACAAACAAGATGCATCTAAGTTGAAAAGTCTTTAATTGTTTTAATAGTATTATAGCAATTAAACAAGGGGTAAGAATGATGTTCTACGTAGTAAAACTGTAAAACTAGGCAAGGAGAAAGCATATAGCTCGCATTCAATCCATAATTCAAAAAAGTGATAAAATTAATTAATGTCCTATATCAGTTGGAGTTGGCTAATGGAAATTTAAACATATTAAAGATGAATATTTTTTAACTAGAACTTTTAAGTACATAAATAAAAATATATTTTTGGCATTAAAATTTGGTATGTTATTCTTATTTTTTTAGTTACAAATTTGATTACTGTCTACCATTAAAATTTTTAATTTTGAAATACTTAAAATTTATTTATTTGTTACCCTTTTTATAAGTAATATATTAGTTCTCATAAATAATGATCCTATATTATCGAGAATTTTAAGTAATTAAATAAATAAAAACTTTGTAATACATAAACTAAATTATAATATTAACTTTGTAATAATAAAGTTCACATAACGACTAATAGTATCATAATATAATAAAATTCTAATTCTTCTCTTCTCAAATACTTAACCAATGATATGTAATACATAACGTAAATTTTAATAATAACTTCGTAATAATAAAGTTCACAGAATGACTAAGAGTATCATAATGATAATATAATAGAATTTTAATTCTTCTATTATCAAATACTTTAACAAATGATATGCTTCTTAATATTATCTCATTTTTATTTTATTTTATTTTTGTCCAAGAAAGGAACTTTATCTTAAATTTTCGAAGTATTATGTATGATGCAAAAAAAATTAGACAATAAAAGCACTAAATAAGTTATTAGGCACATAAGTACTGCAAATTCGAGCGAATGTGAAAGATATAATGATAAACAACGTTAAAATCATTGCAACAACCAAGATGATCAATGGTTTGCAAACTATATATTATATAGTTCGTTTGTCTTCCAAATAAATAACATTGAAAAAAAAATGTTAAAGCCTGATCAAAACATTGTTGAATGTTTGAATAAAATTGTCCCTTTTTTATTAGAAATATTTACAATCTCATTGTGTATTTTGCTCGAACATATGTGCAATTACTTTACAGTACGTACTTTCATGTAATTGATGATTTCAAAAAGTAATTTAGCGTCTCGAGAGAAGTACATGTAAGTAAGATTTTGGAAAGTTAAATTTTATTTGGAGTTGAAATTCATTCACATCCCGTGGGGCAATGCCTTCATGAACAGTTAGTAGAAATACCTTATAAAAATCATACAATCATGAAGTTTGACTGTATGTTTTGCCAGAATATTTATAAGTGTTAGAATAAAGTAGACGTTTTGTCCTATGAATTAAGAAGAATTTTGAAATACTATTAATATAACATATTTAAATAAAATACTAATACATCTATAATACACATTGGGTCCTTATTTAGTTTATTTGTGTTTTTTTCCCTAAGAACTATATTTTTGTTGGGGGTTGTAATATGTTATCTCATTCTTTTTATATTAGGACATCGTTATAAAAAAACATTAGAAACTCATTTGTTCTACATTTCACTTCGTTCCTGCATTGAGATGTTTAAAAAATTAAATAATTTATTTTACTAAATTTAATCGACAAAAAATATTACACCATGTGCGATGCACGCGCACTTTACTAATCTAAAAAAAATAAAAATAAAATAAAAACTCTTCTTTAAGGTATTATTACACTGAAATCAATTTTTTCTGCTTCCTCATCATTTGGCGTCTAAAAAACGCCCTTGCTTGGCATTTTCTGTATTACTTGAACAGCTCGGGAACTACGAGTGAGCCAAAGCTCATTCCTTGGACTAAAGAATTATTGGATCGTAGCGTGCTCCTCTGCAGCTTAAACGACCCGATAATTGAACAGTGAGTATACAGCAGTAAAATTAAGTAATATGTGTGGGTTT